AAAAAAAAAATATTCTCCTGTACCGCCGAGAAAGTCTGAACTATTCAAGCTCGCGAGACGGTAGGCCTCGCTACGAGATCGTACAAGCCGAGGTTGGACCTTTGGATAGGGGGACGATAGGGTAAGGAGACATCGACATTGAAGAAATCTTTCAGAAACGAGGACACAAGAGATGGAACGATCCGGCTATTTTTGCCGCGAACCGCGATTTCGACGGTCGGCACGCTTAGCTCGAGACGTCTATCAGCTGCTCAACGCATTATTGGTAGTCACACCTCCCAAAATAATACCCACACCTGTCCGCCGAGCAAGCTGTGAAGACCCGACCCGAATCACTGTCATGTCCTATGGCGGCATCTGGCCTATGCACCGGGTTACCTTACATTTCTTCATAGATTCTGCGAGACTTGTCGTTGTCGTGGTCGCCGCTACCCTCACTGTCATCAGCTACAGGCCTAGTGGACACAATGATAGACCGTGGCCGCGACACAAGACTGGCGTTCATGAATCATGAGCAGCTAGGCCGACCGGGCTGGTCACAGACATCGGGCTCGAGGGTCCCCTGCGCCAACGGATGCCGTTGCTTCTCCGGCGTGGACCTGCACGGCGCCCAGCTGACTGCTCAGATCGTCGATGCAACTGTCGTCGTCGATGCGACACAGACGAACAAGTCGAGGCGAACGGACGAGCTCTAGTTCGCGGCTCGTCGACGTGTTTCCAAACCTGGGGGCATCGGCCGCATCAGTGAGGAGCACGCCGCCATTTTGCATGTTAGCCTACCGTGTCTTTGCAAGACGTGGTCCGACCGCCATATGCCGACCCTTGCCGTTGAACGTGTCGGTCTTGGACAGCCGAATACGTTCGTCGACAATTCCCTGGAGTTGCGCGGCTGGACCAGCTTGCAACTTCCCGCCATACACGGCCAGAAGTTGAGGCATGAGCATCACGTCTTGCTCACAGTACTTGAGGATCTCATCCGACAAGGGTCTTTCGAGGAAGACCTCGTACTTCCCTCCTTCCTCGGGTGCAAAGAGACGCCGCCCGCTCGCTTTGGCGAGGGACCAGCCGGGAATGGGGGGTAGGTCCTTTTCAATGCACTTGGCCAGCCCATTGACGTACTGGCCTCTCGGGTTCCTGGTGGCATACTCGATGACCTGGAGGTCGATGATGCCGGCGACGTTGACGCCAAAGTGGGCATAGAGGGCGTCCGAGTCGTTGCGAATGTCGAAGAAGACTTTGAGGGTGTTGGGAGACTCCAGCACAGTTTGAAGACTAGTCCCGTCCGCCGTGGTGAGGCGGAACGCTTTCGCTCCAAGCCGGTAGACATCGACCAGGTAGACGACAGGGCTGGGTGGTATCAGCAACTGCATAATGGCAATCGTGCCTGAGCGGCCGAGGTTGACACCCTCCAGATCGACGAACATCAGCTGGTCCTGATCTGCCCCCACACGTTTTGTAATGAGAGCGAGTAGAGCATCAAGTTTGACTTCGTCGTCGACGACGAACGGTGCCATAGTGGAAGAAGCTCGACCTCGGGCGAGCAAGGTATTTTTCCGCATGGCTTTCATTCACCGAAGTCCGGTTGTACTTTATACAATCCGTACGGTGGCCCTCGCTCGTTCTCCGCGTGGTATGTCCCTCCACACGGCGCCACCACCAGATTTGCTCCTGTCCCTGCTTAAGCTTTCATACTTGTACGTTCATGGGTGAATCGGTGGCGCACCTCAACCAGCGAGGGACGACAATGGATGCTCATTGGTGCTGGTATTGAATCGGGGCCGAAAGGAGCTTTGATTCGCTTTTGGGCCCAACACAATGATCGCTTTTCCCACCTATAATAATCCTATATCCTTCGGTGAATCTCCGAAAGGAGTTGACTCGTCAATAAAAGTCACCCTTTCTGGTTAGCTAACACGGAGGAAGAAGAAGAAGACCCACTGCCTATCCAGTGGCTAGCCGCTAGAGCCTTCTCCCTTGATTGGCGTAATTGGACCTATACGCGGCTTCTTCCTACGGCGCGGGGTCGAAAATCCCGTGCACTTAGCCTCGACTACGAACAGTATTCGGCGATTGCCCAACATTGGCGAATGTCGAGAGCTCTTGCGTCCAAACCCGCCAATCACCGGTCATACTATTCCTCTAGCCATAACGAAAAAAAAGGCCGGAGACAAAAGTTCGAGTCAAAAACTCCGCAAGTCGTGAATGACTTTGCCGCCGTTCCTGACTCACTCACCCTTACTCGCTTCATCTTTTTTCGAGACGAACTAGTTAATACATATAGTACAGGCCTTACCACCCAAAATAGCTCAATCGAGAACGGAGTACGGAAACGAGCTGATAACAATAGGAGTCATGATAGTAAGAGGATGGCTGCTGCACTACATCATAGCGGGATATGTCGCTCGACTAAACAATCTTTCCCGAACCTGGTCGATGTTGCGGACATATTGTAATACCTTTTAAGCTAGTAGTTCCACTGGTCAGTATTTGGTCTAGCATTTGCTTTGGGTCTAGCAAATCATAATGAGATATATTTCAGTAAAAGCGATAGTATGATGTGTGTGCTTGCTTGTAAAGACGCCGACTGGATGCACGTTTCCATGAATATTTCGCCGTCAGCTCATAGGTAGATCTCCCTCAATTGGGAGCAACCCTCTGTCCTTTGGCCAGGATGGAGTTGCTCTCGTGGGACGGGAGAGCAACGTGAGACGACAGAAATCCAAGGGCTATAGATCTGCGTGGTCGACTTGTGCGGTGATCTATCGATGGATGTCTCTGCTGTCTCTGGCCGCAATTCGTTTCGCAGCCCATAATTATGCTGAAACCGCAGGTGCACCTTTCAGAAAGCCAGGACAGAAGGTATCGTAGAATCGGTTTGGAGAACGTACGACCGCTGTCCCGGATGGGATGCGTATCCATCTTTTCAGCAATGAATATGTCCCTCTGCAGAACAAATTGATACAGTAGTGCAACGGCCATTGCGGCACCAGGAGTCCAGCAAACCACAGGTGTTGGTAGACATCGCCCAATCTCTTGAACCTGGATTCGGGAGCCATGGGGTGGGGGCTAGGTCAAGACCACCGATCGCGGTTCGATCGACGGCGGGACAGAGGTATTCCGGCGGAAGCTCTGGCTTCTGTGGCGGGGAAGAGACCAGCAAGTCTGTGTAGAAGGAAGTCTTTTCCGGTTATCACGTATGCCCGAGCAGCGAGTCTTTTGAGGAAAGGCAGCACCTGGTAATTACATCGTTTATGGTCATCATCAGTGACACGGCTGAGCTGAATTGTTTTGGTTCCTTCGTTTTGATCCACTAAATTCGACGCTAAGCTTCAAACAGTCAAGCTGCCCGAAAGCTCGGCAGCAGTGTAGACCAGACCGTGCACCCCCAGGCGCTATACGGGGCTTCGAGGAATGGGCCAAGGTCATCGTCCCCTGCTCTGTGTCTGGTGTTAGTACTCTTTAACTACGGCCCAGATTGTTGGAGTGGGAATTCCCGTTCCCCATCTAGCGGGTGAGCGTCGCCGCCCTAGCTTCACCTCTGGCTCCCCCCAGCTCACCCAGCTCGCCCGCCCTAGCTGACCCCCCTCACCTCTAACTCACCCTTGACTCACCCCAAATGCAGGACGCTAGGGGCTGAGTTACGCTACAGCATCTGACTGGCCGGTGGACCGTTGGGGGCCAACACCTGACAGCATGTCGTTCACTCTGTCCTGGCCAAACCCTTTTGACATCACCTGCCGGTCAGGCACACCCAACTCCGCTTCCTACGCCCTGCACCGCGTCCCGGTCATTCATTGACTCACTCTGCCGACAAGGTCTGGCTACTCGATGCACGATAAATGTCTATACACCGAGACCTCTCAACAAGATCGATGCGAGCACATATATCGGGAGGGAGTCCCCATCTGGGCAGTCAAAACTGGGAGAATATTTGAACGGCTGTCAGACGGGCTAATGGAACCTATTCGTCTATCTCTTCGAGACTTGATGAGGGAGACATTCGAAATTATTCGCTACACTCGAAATCATTCGCTTATGCTGGCTCGTAGAGATTAGATTGAGTGAGCAGGGCATCGGGTCAAGCGTGGAGTCTGACTACGTCCACGCGCATGCGATCCTAGTAATCACCGTTGGGTGAAATGGCTCTACATCTCGCTGATGTACAGTATCACGGGGCATGTCTCAGGCGGAGTACCTCGACGAGGATATGGTGGATCTTCGCGGAATCTTTCGCCACCTCCAGATAAAAAGACACGTTCTGATATGAGGGCAACATTGGCGGGGATGACGACGCCTGACCAAGCCTCTTCCCCTCCTAGGCTACGTGGACTTCATGAAACCGGTCTGAGTGTGAGCGAGAGCTATACATAGTAAGGCCAGCCAGCGGGAACTAGGGTCACGCAGAGCGAATGCGATCCTCACGGTTCTTATCTGGTTGCTCGGGACCCCTGACAGACCCTGACAGACCCTCCTCTTCCGCTGCGCAAGCTTCTTATGGAGTGGACACTGTCGGAACGATGGCTTCCCGCGTCATTGCCACCTGCTTGTGAGAAGGACGCATTCTTCATCCCCTACGGGAATTCGCGCATTCGACTAGGGAGAGTCCGTCATCACAGGGGTCAACAAAACCACGCTTTCTGTCCACTCGCACCGGTGGCCTACGGCGAACAGGCCTCAAAGGTGTACAGAAGGTCATCAGGCATTTCCCATTAACGCTCCCGCACCTGTCTGGGCTTGCTTTGAAATTGGACTGCCGAGGATTGGGTCTATCGAGAAAGGGTGACCCGGGAGCCTACCTTGGAGGATTAGTCTACACTCTTCTCCCACTCATTTCCCGCACTCTGCGCTTTCCAGAACAACGTCGTTCGCTTCGGCCCTTGCCCAGAGTCATCACCTACAAGAGGTGATTCGATGACGATGCCGGGTTCAGCGAACTCCATCCTCCGGATTTCCCTCCTGACCGCCACCGTATTCCTTCTCGGAATTCTATTCTATCTGGCGTCCACAAGGGACGCGACCAGCACCTGGATGTTTAGGTTGAAAATCTACCTTGGAATGCTAGTTCTCTTTGCTATCATCCACCGGCTTCCGAAACCGAATGCCTCGAAGACAGCTGCGTGAAGCCACGCACGACCGAACCGACAGAGACCTATGAAACGATTGGGATTGTGGCATCCGAGCCCGCGGAGGTGTGCTGGAGAGCCAGGGTTGGCCATTTGTGTTCTATTCACATAACTGTTCATGCGAGATGTTGAAGGCTGGGTGGTTGAAGAAGCTCTGCATTTAGTGGTCTACGACAATAGCAGCTAATATATTCTACTCTGTTGATGGAAGAGAAACCTCACCGTAAAGCTGTCAAGATTCGTCAAGGGGCACGCATGACATGTCTCACCGAACGCTGCCGAACAAGCCTGTGACGGCGACCAGGGCCTAACACCCTCTTCAATGCCCCCTGGTAGAATGCCAGGCCAACCTCGAAGTACTTGGACCCGGAAAAGCAATGGGACAGTTGGGAGCGTCATGATGGCGGCACGAAGCCACGGAAGAACTCACCAGGTTGCCATGTAGTTTGGTGCACCAGTCTACCCTGTAACCGGTTGGGCGAGGCGATCCCAACCCTTTTCCAGCCCGGTTGAACATGGCTCAGCTGTCTGCCGAGCAGGGGGATTCCTTCAGCGTTTTATCGGGCAACTGAAGAGTCGTATGAGTGCGCTAACCATGACAAGCCCAGGAGCACAGGGTGCCAGGCAGACCGATCCAATAACCAAGCATACTACTCTCTGGAGAAGAACCAACACCTACTTATACAAGGTGAAGGACCCTACGCCGGTTGATCGACACACCGCCCCCCACAGTTCTTCGTTGGCCACCATGTCGCTGCAATTTCTCGACATCTGTCAGCTTTTCGAGCAACTGTCGTCCTTGAAAAGTCCTGAAAGCCGCGAGTTAAACCTTCAGGAATGGTTTAAGCAGCATCAAAGTAGCATACAACGTCGAGGAGCCCCTGCTCTGGCTCTTTTGTCTTGCTTATTTCCGGAGAAACGGGCTGATCGGGTATATGCGTTGCGGACAAAACAGCTTGAGCATATGGTCACCAAAGCGGCTTGCTTAGGTCACTCTCGTGTCTCCGAGCTGCGGCGCCTACAAGGCCGTAATGGGATTGATTTTGCCTCTGCGGCCCAACAGGTTCTTTCGGCGACGGACGATTTTTCGAATCCACCCCGATCACTCACTGTGGAAGAGGTGGACCATACTCTGGACCGATTGGCATCTACTTGCGTATTCCCGTCGCCGAAGCTTCAGGGATCCATCACCATTGGATACATTGAGGCCTTCGACGAACTGGTGCGTGTTCTTCGACGATTGCCCAGCGTTCGGATGAAATGGATGATCCGCCTACTCTTTAAAAAATTTATGTTCGGTGGAGATCCCGGTCACCACGGCCTTACGGGCACTCCACTTTCTCATGCCTGACCTCCTTAAAGTGCGCACATCATTATCAGACGCAGTCCAATTACTAGAGGCTAACACAATCAGCCAGCTCCCCGTATCTCCGCCTCCCAACCTGGAGAGATCGCTGAAAGAATCGGCCCGTGCTGAGATCGAGCCCTGTTTCGGGACGATGATCGGACTCCAAGAACTTGGCAAGACCCGTAGCATCCAACACTGTTGCCAGCTGGCCAGCCACAAAGAAGTCAGCGTGCAGAGGAAGTATGATGGCGAATACTGTCAGATTCACATCAGTCGCACACATTCTCAGCACCACATCACAATCTTCTCCAAGAATGGTCGAGATTCGACCATGGATCGTGTCGGAGTGCACAATACCATCAAGTAAGTCGACTTTGGGAATACCACCTCGTTCGTAATCTCCGTTCTGCTGGTGTTTAACGTGGTGCAGAGTTACGCTAGTCGTAGATAGAGGGTTTTGAGTGGTTTCCCTGTTACCCACTTTGGCCTTGTTACTGACACTTTTCTTTTTCGGCTTCTTGTAGAGATTGATAAGGGCAGGACGCGGCTCAACGGATCGTTTCCGTTTCCTCGTCATTGTGTGAGATACATTCCCCTTATGAACAAGATGGGCGTCTGAGTCCAACTCTGCGCTTGTTCCTAAATCAGCACAGAGGTCCGCGGATGAAGGTGTATATTCAAGCTATCACACATTGCACGCACCCCTTCCATCATTGTCTTATTCAATTCCTCCATTTGCTCCATGTGCTTGAAGGCCTGTACTAATGCCTCTTCAATCCGCGATGTTCTGGCTTGAAGATTTTGTATCTCGTTCTGTACTATTCCAAGTCACAGGTCAGCCGTCTAGCTTCGCGTCATTCTCGTTGTTCGTCCCGGAACGACGCGTGCGTTCTTAACACCTGTCCCTCGCAGATGACAAGATCGAAACATTGGCCGTGGTACGGACGATCTGGAGAGAACGTCATGGCGGGGTACTGACTGGGTTTCAAGCCGAATTGGTTCGCAAGTACTCCGTGCAGTGATGTCTAGAAATTGCGCAATGACTTGTGGAACAAGGACCGGGTGACTCTTGCCCCAACCTGATGGGGAAGGTTAGCCGGGCGACACTTGCGCTTCCGTAATGTGCATCCTTAGCTAGATTCCTTAGTTACGCTGGTAACCAATCCAATCAACCAAGTAGTCCTCCAGTGACTACCGAGCGCCTCAGGCAAGCCGATGCCGCAAATTATGGCATTGGGAGTGCCGGAGTGTTGTTGGCGATGGACCCCGTTTATCCTTACCTGAATTAGGCTAGTGGCTTAGGTAAAACCCCAAATGCTGAGGCGCCGCCAAGAACGTGAGGTAACGAAGCTAGTGGCCAAACCGCAGGCGCAACACTTCTAACAAAAGACCCATTGTTTGCGATAGCACTCCTACACCGTACACACAACCAATTAGTGATGCATTACACTCATGAAGACTGAGCTGTGCCCCCCCGTCGCAGAACAACGAGACCAGCGAATTAGTGAGTGGCTTGATGACATTCGCGAATCATCGACATCGCAGATAGCCCTTCATCTTGACAGCCCCTCCCTGAAACGAAAATTGCAACCGTTGGAGAGTGACGATACTCCTCGAGCGAAGAGATCGCGACCAGATGACTTGCAGAGTCCGTCGCTAACAGGCAGTCGCAGCGCGCTTGACCTAGAGCATACTCCCTCTCTCACTACGCAGTCCTCACGTTCATCACAAGCGACATCATCTCGCAGCCCGAGCCCCTCGAAGCGTGGTCGCGCACTCGCGATAAAATTCTCTGGACCTATTCTTCAAACTCTCGATGTTGACGAGGCTGCAAAGTGGACAGCCGCAAGAACTACCGAAGTGCCTTTGCTTGAAGACCTCTTCTCATGCGTTGCAAACACGGACGATGGGTGGCAAAATTCGCTGAGAGACGAAGACTGGCGCGGCATTCACAAGGAAGTGGGACGATGTCTGAAGAGAAAAGCAAATGAAGACTCGTGGAGCGATTGGGTAGTGCTGCCATCGTTACAATTAGCCAGAAAACTATCAAAATGGCAGAGCTACGTTGATATTATTAATGTGTATGTGAAACATACTTAGGTCTATTAGCTGCTAACAATCTGCAGGAAATCGATCGATATTGTACCCACCACCCTGCTCAGTGGCCGATACAAGAAACGGGTCGATTACTCCCTGGGCCTGGACATCACAGACACCGATATGTTCCCTGAGATTCAGCAGTCACTTGAGCCTCACACCGTGTCACAAAGTGATCATTGGCTACTCAACGATCGAGTCCTCTTCTCTCACATCGAGATCAAAGCAGAGTCGGATCGAGCTACCGCAGAGTCTCAGCTTAAGGTTTGGTGCACTGCCGGCTTTCGAAAGCAGGAGAGAATGTATAGACAAGCAAGACGCAATGAATCAATAACCCCAACACTGGCACCGCAGCCTCTGTGGATCTGGGAGCAAGACAAGGTGCACCTGTCAATCGCGGTGATGGACTCAACGGAGAATAGGATCTATTTCCTCGATCGAAAAACATTCTTCGTCGACGGGGCGGAACCGAAGTCATTGCTACCAGTTTTTGGTACGATGATAGCGATTATTGACTGGGGTTACAATTGTTATCTGCCTTGGTTCAGAGAATTGATAGGACAAGTGAACCTGAATGATAAGAATTCATGACTTCCGGAGATCCTAGGAGGGGGAGTCACGTAAATGAACTCGAACTCTGGCGAAGGCGATCTCTACGACTGCCACTGAGCGTATTCTACTGCGCACTATGACCGCCTGCGGAAGGAGATCTGGAGTGCACTGGCGATAGGTCACTGAGAGGAGTCTATCAAGCGCCGGAGATGCTATGCCCAGCCTCGAGTTCAAGAGTGATCTGGATGATTATGTGGGCGCGTTCAGTGGTCGCATACAGTTTCACGGGTACTCGTTCTCCAATAAATGATGCGACTCCGGTTCACACATATTCAACCATTTGCACCTCGGGTCTCTTCGTCCAAGCACAAAAGCTGCACATCTTAATTACCTTCTTCCTCCTTCTGTCCAGCAAGAGCGCTTCGCTCATCACGGTCAAGCTGATCGCCGCCAAGTTGATCACGACGAGCGAAAGCGCCCAGATTACGGGAGTGAGCTAGGCATATGGCGGAATGCCACCAACCGCTCTCAACGGGGTTGAGTCTAAACCCAGACAATTGAAGGTGGATTGACAGAGAATGACGAAATCACCACGGCCACGCCAGCCTAAGACGAACGCAGAACCCTCGGGGGTTGACGGGGAGTGAAGAATGCGAAGCTCTGAGTCTCCGAACCCCCGTCTGACGTGCCGCATCGGGATGCACTATTCATACATTTCTTCGAGAAGCACATGTGCCTTTCCAAGGGCGCTCGTCTGTTCGACATCGTTTCACGGAGAAATCGAGGAAATCAACACCTAGAACGCCAGTGTTGTTATTGTTAGCCTCACTTCTTTCCCAGATGATTTTAGTTTTGACGTGATCTTCACACGACTTGGCCGAAACCAGACTCCAGAAACTCTGCAGATATGGAACAAGTTTGCCGGCGGCTTTGGCTGATCAACAAATTCGTTCTAGATGCTCATACCATCTGTGTAAAGAACGCCCGCCACGGATATCAAAATGCCCCTTACCTGGGAGGGGTTGGTGCTGTACGAGATATTGAGGTGTTTGATCCGACAAGCCTTGGGCACCAGCACTCATTTTCGAAGTAATTGCCGGCAATGTCAGTAGGAAGTTGATGGCTCAGTTATCAAGGCCCAAATCCGTTGACATCTGCGCCGCGGGTCGACATTTGAGCTCTGCAACGATGCGGCTTCGTTGCGGTGCCGGTATGCATGGTTGATTCTGTACGTCAAGGATGTACTCTGTGGTGTGAGATAAATTGCATCATCTCTCTTACGTCAGGACTTTTTATCGAATAGTCGAGGGCGAAGGGCTCACGATGTTCTCTGTGGTGGCGATAGCTGTTAGATATGGTAACATTTCAGATCCAATGGCAGAACAGCTTTATGGAAGTTGCCCTTCTCATTCGACCTTCTACTTGCACTTGAATAATGTCGTCCCGCAATTTCAGTGGCCAGACTCCGAACCTCGGGACGTTGAAAGGGAGCGTAAATCCTACCCCACCGCTTGCTTATTGGCTCCCGCGCACGCTATATGTGGACTTACTCTGGGGTAAATAGCTGGATTGGGGACTCGTAGAGACCACTTAAAAGAGATGGAGTAACCCACGTCCCGATGTTATGAAATACTGCCAAGCCGCCCTACGCCATAAAAGGCCAGGTTGTACAATTTATTCTACCACACGTGATATCTTGGCACTCCATGATCAAACTGCAATCTCATAAGCTGCTCAGCCAAAGCCTGCAGCCGAGTCTCTACTTTCCATCCTCGAATTTTAGTTGTGGTCAAAGCTACACTTTAAGTTTCCTGGATTCTACACACGAGAGGTCATGTTTACCCCGAACCTTCTACAATCAATACAATGGACGGAGACGAACATCGAAAGTGGCAGGACGTATTGATTGTAGCAGTGCAGGAAAGAAAATGGGGACAAGTATCTGAATTGCTGGACCGACTGTCCGCGAAACGCGAGGTCCCCATCCCACCTGCGATCTTCGAACGGTGCTACGCGGCTCTGCAAGAGACGTCGGTTTTGGTAATACAAGAGCGAAATTGGGGGGCCGTGCGAGGTGCATGTGAATGCCTGGACCGACTGTCCGCGATACGCGAGGTCCCAAACTTACTTGACGAAAATATCCTCATGTCGATGGTAAAAACCATGGACTGCGAAGCGTCACAATTCAGGTTGGAGGACCTTTATTCATGGGTCAAACGACGATCTGCCGTCATTAAGATCAAATTACTAAACGGCGGAATCTTCTTCGGCTCCCAGGCACTATTGTGTGCTCGCTCGAGATATTTCTCGTGTCGCCTCTCGAAGCAATTCAGGTTTAGCAACCCAATCGAGCGGCAAAGAGGTTTCCATCCCAATGACCCCGATCTTGATATATCGCTTACCAGAATGCCAAGATCTGACGACAGTATTCACCTAATTATTCCGGTGCTGCCAGATTTCGATGATGATACTACCCGGTTCGTCTTAGAGTTCTGTCAATCCTCTATTCCCGATGAGCCTCTTAAAGAGGATAACAATCTTGATGACTTACTCACCATTCTTGAGGCATCAAGTAATTATGGGGTTGCTCTTCTTCTCAACCGGATCGAGGACCAAATAATCTCAGAAGTTAGCCCACATAACACTGAGGATGTGAAATATATTTCAGGACACCGCACCTAATGACGCGAAAGCGTTACATATACGGTGTAAAGAAGTGCTGGAGGATGAAATTTGATATCGCTCGGTGGAGTGAAAGACCTTAGTTTGACTAAATTCGAAATATGTATACCTGACGATGAAGGAAGACTGCTTCCACACCCAGTGCCATGTGACTGGCAGTGTGCCTGACAGGAACGCCAAGAGATGTAATGACTGTTCGCACTAGTCTTCGGCCGAAGGCCTGTTACTAGCGTCGAGACCCCTTTGTTAATTACTCGAACGGATATAGTCAGACGGGCCCCCGGACCCTGTAGAATTCATCATGTTCCGCCATTGAGTCACAGCCACAGGCGTAAGATATCACGTGCTGTAAAGTTTTTTTAGTTCATGGCATAGGGTGGCTTGGTAGCGTTCCATCGGGACGTGGGTTAAGTCAAATAATTTCAATGAACCAAAACATCTACCTATGCTATTACTTTCTAGGCTTCTTCCACGGGGTACTTGAATTTCCGACCAATGTCACTTCCTACTGTCGTAGGTCCTGCAGTTGTAGTGAATGATAGACCAACGGTAAAGAGGGGAGGGGGGGGGTGGGGGGCTCCACATGAATATCGCTTCTCTACCTGTTGGCGATGAACTCTTAAGTGCTATCAAACATTTCCGCATCCGACCCATAATCGCCACCTACAAAGACGTAGTCCGCCTCAGGGTCCCTAACGTCCATCCCTTCGGGGAGAGGGGGATTGAGACTGGAAATCGACGAGTCGCATGTACAACCACCATCGTCGTCAGCTTCGGCGTCAGCGTCATAACACATCATAGGATATGGTGACTGTCGTAGGCGGCGCGGTATAGAGCCGCTGCCATCAGTGCCGAAGGATTGGGAATATTCCGAGGTGTTACTCGTTGAACCCTGAACTTCTGGGCAGTTAATTGTGCTGGAAATACTACCGGCCCAGTGTGGGGACCGCCCGCGGCCAGGTGAAAAGCACAGTTCCCCTAGTGTACTAGCCACGTCTCCCGACATCCCGCAATGATCTTTGCCGCGCTCCATGTTCATATCTATTGAGATCGGTTGCCGTCGCTTAGCGGAACGTTCCAGTCCTTCTTCTTCGTGGGTGGGAGAGCGAGGACGCTTTTGATTTGACCCCGGTAGCGGTGAGGCGTGGTTTCCTCCAGCATCGGCATCCTCATTGGGAAGCTGTGTCTTTCCTATTGAGAAGGGCCGTTTCTCAATGGATTCCGAACTCGAATTATCTTGGGCCGCGATGTTATCGAGGATGGATGGTCGCTCGCGCAGAGTTATCGCACGTCGTCTATGGCGTGGGCTGTCCGGGTTGGCAGGACCCTCGGGAGGAAACACTACCATATTGCCACAATAGAACTGCCGCGAATGCATCGACATAGAATGTGGCCGCCCTTTATATTTTGTCCCAAGTACGCTGCTAATCCCCATCTGGACTGGAAGTGAGAGACTGGCAACCATGGGCAGTTTGACTGGTTTTAAACACCGATATCTAGATCAGTCTGATATCCAAGACTTTGTTCCTCCTTCTCGCTCCTCCAAACTCGCACTTGTCTTTGAGGAAATAAGGTTCTTGCTTTGCGGTATTTTCATAGTTTCTGTACCATTTTAGGTTTTGGGGAAAAAGAATCTGGTTATCTGTCCAAGGCAACGGTAGACCTTAAAGTTGTTTGTTTGCAATAATTCCGTCTTTACGTTACGTCTTTATTGTCGATGAGAGTGCATTAATTAACCCTGATGAGTGTGGGGTGCGTGAGACACTATACTAGGCGGTACAAAATCTGAAACGAGGGCCAGAAAAAGCTACTATTCGCCCTGGGCTCCGACACAGCCCTCGAGGCCGTATAACACCGTTAGTGGGGCCATTTGATATTATTAGTATGAGGTGGACACAGCTCAATCCACCTCTTGGATAGATTTGGTGCTCGTTTCGAATGAAGAAACCTCTAGCCTATATTCAAGTGAAAAGCTGAGTTGGCACTTTGATTTTTCAGGTAAGTGAATTGAACGATAGTGAAATTGTTGAAGGTCAGTTCTTCATTTCCGTAGGCGAGACTGATTAGGAATGACAATTAGTCTTATTCCTTTTCCCATAATACACATCACGCGGCGCCGATAATCAAACACTATAGACCTTCCGAGGTAAGAGGCCTGTATATCGTAGGAGGGCTAAACACTCTCATTAGAGAAATCGGGCTCGACCTCGTCGATACAGAAACGAATTTCATCTTATTTTGTTTGAGTAATGAGCCGATACGTATCCGAGGTTTTCCGCTTCCTTACGCGGTTCGAAATGCGGTACTAATAGGATGTACACCTAACAAGCTTCCGTAATGGCCCTTCTCACTTGACTGAAAGGGAAGTCGACGTGGTAGGAGATTAATATTTGAACACTCAATAGGAACAAAAACACACCTAGCTGGATAGACGCGATCTCCCACTTTTCATACATTTCTATCTAACCGGATTCATCCTTTATTCTCAATGGACTGCAATATGTCAGAATTGAGTTAGACAAGATTCTACTCAATTATATACCAAAGTGAACGGAAACTCACGATGAGGTACAGGTATCTACAGTAAAGCTATAGAGCCGGCACCGTACGTTCAAGCTTAAAGCCCCACGGCGCTACAAGCCTGCAAAGTAAGCAACACGGAGAGAGATATTTATGCCGGCAATACCGTATTCACGGGATTTCATTTCCCCTACTTTAGCTTTGAGGAGCGAGAAAATACAGGAAGTACGTGCCGAATTTCACTTCCCGTCGGAAAAGAAGAATTTGAGGGGAATATAGAAGGGAACATAATACTTTTATCAATTAGGCCCCGGTGTTTATTTTCGATACTAGGTAATCATCTAGATATTACCTGAGCGAGCTATTATAGGACACTTCTGGTGTTCCCTCCCCCCAACTCATAACCTCCACCGCCTCCTAAGACCCTAGATCGATTTTCTTCAGGATATCGGGCTAAAGTGCGAGCGAGGATACCAGCCAGCTTCTATTGCCTCAGAGAGACCTCATAATGACTGCTCTAGCTAGTGAAGTTAGTATCGATTCTATTTTCTCATGAAGAATAACCAATTATATCACCTTTATAAAATCATTTCAGCCAGCTTAGGGCTTCCTCTAGAAGGCGGGTCCTCCTCATCTCGTGACGTCTCTGACTGTATGTCGCAAACGGATGCGTGTTTATGATAGAGATGTAGAACCAGAAAGATTGTGGCCACGAGAGAAAGGGTTAAGACGACCAGCGGGACCCAAATCTGCGGGGCGACCGTCGACTGACTTCGAACGGAGGGGATCTCCAGGGGTGCGGAGCGGACTTTTGAGTAATGCATGGCACCAGAGCAAGGGCTCGAGCAGCGAAGAACGAAATGACTGTTGAACGCGTGGTATCTTCTGAGCAGAACGAAGAGAAAGCTGATTCTCTTGACAGGACTACTGTATGATATCCCCTGGCCTTCTGTTTCCTAATTTCTCCAAGGATTACAGTATGAAGGGCGGGCCAGAGACAATCATATAGATGTTTCCATTACAGCTCCAAGAAGATTTTTTTCCACCGACGGCTTTTTTATGGCCCTATTGGGGGGTGAGAGGGTGGCCTTCGGTCCGCGCTCATTGGCCTCTGCACTCCGATTCACTACTACACGGCAAAAGGGGTTAGAATATAGGTGGCTTACGTGGGCTTTTGTCCAAGACGACGCTGCGAAATTGAAATTCACCGAACGCGTGCCCTCGGTAAAGGCTTCTCTACGTTCAAATCAGTCTAATGCACCCCATACGTCAGTTTCGTCTTCCTCTAAGGAGCGGACGAACCAGAAGTCGGACTGCTTACAAGGATGTGGGATGAGAAACGAGGCATATTGGATTTAAGCTCGGGATTTCATTCGTAGAAGTTATTTTGTCCAATGATATTGCACAGATTCGGTACTGTATGATAGCTACGGGAGTGGGAATGTTGACCTAGTAGCGCCTGAGCAGGTACGGGAATTGGTCTATTTGCTCGTGCCCGGTTTCAAGCCGTACCTAATTTTACGATATCGGTCGATGAAATATCAGTGTGTCCATATGATAAAACTTTACTGCATGACCCTGGCAAACCTTCTAATCTTTATTCAAATTTTGCAATACCGGAGCACCGCTATGTCTCCAGCGTCTGAGCAGCAGGTTCTTGCTGCAATTGAGGAATCCTTATATCGGGGGATCTTACAGTTTGGACGATGGGTGAAAGAAGGCCGAACATTTGACCTCAGAACCTAGAGCGCAGTATGCAATCTTCGACCAAGATTTGTGCCGGACGAGGATTTTCGGAGTACAAAGAGGGGATACCGTATCGTGTTCCCTGGGCCAATTTCGTTATTTACGATCGGAAAATAATAGAGACCAAATTCAAGCAATCCTTTGAATCTATCTAAGTTAAAGGTGATTATTTTTCCTACACAAGAAGGGAGTTCCTCAAATCGACAGCTCGTTGTGTTAAATGTGCAACAAGCTGGAAACGGGACAGCACGTCCTACTAAGGTGGCAGAAGTGGGAAGAGGAGACCTAGGAATGTCTGAGGACGGGACTCGCGCAGAGGGCCCGATCGTCACCACAGGCGCTCCTAGGCACAAAGAAGGGTTGCCTCGCCGCAGCTGGAATGATGCAGAGGACGGAAACGCCACGTCAATTTCAGTCCTGCGGCCTGGACGAAGCAGTAGAAGAGGAAGAGGAGGAAGAGGAGGGGTGGATCAGAAGATAGAGAGAAAGGACAGCTTAGGAAGGCAACGTCTTCCATTAGCTCTACGTGCAGTTAGACGGACGTGAAATGAGACGAAATAATAATCAAGGTGATTATTTATCGGGTCTATACTATAATTTATCGGTTTTTGTACTTTGGAATTTTGATCGATTCTTTCTATAATGTACGAAAAGGCACCACAATATAGCTGCGTATTCTTATTTTGTCCCTGATAGTGTAAGGAGAAGCCGATAGATACAGACTCAAAGCCCTTGAAAAGGGGTTGACAAAAGGGTTTGAGCAGGGTGCGCGTACCCTGTAGATAGGGCTACAGCTACCAGCATTCAGTGGTATTACTTCTATTGACCTACCTATCCTCCCGCTTCCCTTACATAGCTCTATGTTACTCGCTCCCTTCGAAGGGCCTACGAATCGAACACGCACCGCTACGTAGATAGCCCCATACTGTACCATCTCATTCGGCCTGGAATGTCCTGCCTTTCCCGCACATACCCTCCACGCGTGCTCCCCCTATCGTGACTTTGTTGGAGCCAGTCGAAGATTCTATCACAAATAGGCGCCATGAGCACCTTGACCTTGACCGGCTTACCAGACGAGCTCATCATAGGTATCTTCGAATTCCTCGACTCACCCAGTGTTGCGTCCGTCTGCAAACAACTGCGTACGATATATGAAGATCAGGAAGAGCAGGTCATCTCCAATTACTTCTATACACATCCCGGTTGGTCTGGCGAAGATGGCGTCACCCGTCTGAAAAGAGTACTCGATTACAGAATGAATACGAACCTCCTGGCCGCTCTGCGGCTCTTTAACGCCATAAACTGCATCGATGAAAAGGCCTTGAACATGAGCAATTGGATCGACGTCCGAGAGACACTGGAAGAGTACGGACTCCCTCTAGCTGAGGGCCTATACAGGAAAGATCACAAAGTCGAGTCTATATCCCTGCTTAGCTCTTTGCGCAACGCTCACGATTGGGATACTTTTTCGATTAGAGTCGACGCGTTGATAATGCAGATCGACAATCAAGCAGAGCCTCAAGTCGGTATATATGCTAAGCAATTACAGCTTAAACTCTGGACTCATCGGGAAAGGTGCAAGGAAACTAGCTGCGAGTGTCGTAAACCCGATTGGATGGCTGACGTTCAAAAAGAAGTAATGAGCATCCTCCGTCGCCAAAGACTGTTTACGGAAACAATGAATGAGTATTCCCGCCACACACGCCGGAGCTACACACGCCGGAGGACTTGAGCAGCGTCGGTCAATTTTCACAAACAATACCTACTCTCATCATTGAAGATGTTGATTTTCTACTCTATCATCTGGTACAACACAGTCAAGTTTTCGGCGGTCACCGGAGTCTTCAGAAGCTCGTCATGTGGCGCCGTGCCATATTGTTTTCTCGGCGGAGGTTCTCAAAGTGGTCAGGGCGGTTGCTGCGAGATCTTCAATGTCAGCTATGCCTGTGGCCGCAATGAGCATGCCGTTCCTGAGTGCGGTGAGACGGAGAAAGGGGAGTCTCATTCCCTTGCTTGTCCCCCTTCCGTCCTATTCTCTTCCATTACTGCTTTTGGCAAAGCTGATTTTACAACCGGTGACTTGGTGGTAGTGTTGATGTAGCACGCGAATGTATTGAGAAGCTCACCTACGGATCTCCTGGACTCGGAGTTATATCAAGATAGCATCGCAGACACACAAATTCTATCGAAAGTTGCGCCCAGGCATCGTCGGGCTGTCCTTGGAGGCCTCATCCCACGGTTTTCCGGCGAGATAGTGGCCAAGATCAGCCGCTAATGCAGGTGGCGTACCCGACTATGGGGATATCCACTCACAATTAATTGGCTATACTCAAAGGGCTGGACGGTGCTCAGTGGTCTAGGGGGTTGTGTTGTGATTGGCTGGCCTTTACTCACATGAGGCATAGACGGTAGAGGGTCTCGACTCTCTTAGACAGACAACCAACCAACTACTTGAACACCCAGCCGTTACGGCTACGGACAGCCAAGCTTAGAACTTAGCTCCAGTTCAGTACCTGAACGCAATTTTTTTTTACGAAGTACTGTGCATTTACAATGCGGAGTAACTCACATTAATAATCTAAGTCAGTTAGTTATACGGTTACCTCTTAATTTTGATTAATGTGGAACTACTTATATGGCATAAATTTGCCGCCCTCCGAAAGCGAAGCTCCGCGCCTCGGGGGCCCCGCAAAACATTCTCTCGTCGAAAATACACGCCAATAGCGAGCTCCGCGATGGCTCAAAATAATCGCCACACTGGGGCTGCGCTTCAAATGACAAGGACGAGTTTGGCTGTCAAACGGTGTGGCTGTGTGGTCGAGACGCCGCTCTCCCGACCCTTGGTGATCTCTCAAACGCCCAGAGGCTGTGTGGAGAGTCATTGAATCACCAGTACATCACGAAATGGTCGTGGTGGTGGTCCTCGACCCATGACCCTGGCAATGCTCGGAGCGATGCTGAACCTGGTCTGCGGAAAGCCCTACCTGCAACTGGATGAGATGGCCCTCGCCCTGGGGGACACATTTGACGAACTTTGTCAACGTCGACCGTCGATGGGGGCTTCAAAAACGACCGGGCGGTCCAAGCAGTTAGCTCGTCGAATAGTGGGAGAACAAAATGCAGGTCTCCGCGACATGTAAGTGCACGATTTATCCGCCTTCGATCACTGGCAGGTCGTTTAAATGGATGAGGCGGGCTACGATAAAGCAGTGGGCTATCGACGAACAGGATGGTCTCCGCCGAGGCATCGCCGGTACATATCGGATAATTGCAATAAGGGCCGCGCAGTCATATCGTTGAACGAACCCGGCTGATTTACTGAACGCAACAATGCGGGCTATGGCGCGCATCCCGATCCGATGAAACGATCGCCAAGACTCCTTATTATGTGAAGTAATGTCATGTACCTTATACTTCAGGCCAGAAACATTCACCTACTAACTATCCTCATATGGATCGGCATATAATTAGCACGAGAGTGACCTATCTAAACATCCCTCAGACGAGCGATAACGCGAGGAAATAATCTTTCATACCTGGGGATCCATTTCTCTTGTTCAGCCGGATGGAAATCTCGGGGCAGCAGAAGAAGTGGCAGATGCGTCCGAGAGGCGGCTTCGTTTAAATCTACCCGGCCCTATGCCAAAGACTTCAAGGCAACAGTGCTCCCAAGACACGTGTGCTGCGCTAGAGCAGGATCTACTGCCCGTCAAGACGGATCAGACAAGGATCTGCAGTCCGAAGCTCCGTCTAGTTAGCGCGACGACTTCTCCGTCTCGACTCATAAGGTCGGCTCCTTTCTCTCAACACACTCGACTTTCTCTCTTCCGGCGTGACCTCGTCTCGTCTCGTTCAGTCTAAGCAATATCCGGAATTCGGAGTATTTCTGCAATGCCAAGCCACAGTTTACGCTGCAAACCTGTGAAATAGAGATTCAAAAAAGTCTATAGCAGTACTTGCCTCGTATCACCCCCTTCGAAGAGAGATAGGTCAGTGCAAAGGCAGATAAGACAAGCCAAGTCAAAATCTGTAAAGGGGGAAAAAAGCAAAATACTGATATCGAGAGAGATCGTGGGGTCCCACTATCCTACATCATCTTTTTTCTCTTCTAACAATTTTTTTTTTT